CTAAGCAAGAGCTCTGCCACTGAGCTGCACCCCCAGCCCTATTTTACTTTGAGACAGGGTCCCAAAAAGTTGCCGAGGTTGGTCTCAAAATTGGGATGCTCCTGCTTTAGCCTCCAGAGCTGCTGGGATTACAGGTGTGCACCACCTAACTGGATCTAGTGGTGGCTTCCGAAGCACTGTGGACCTGCCTTGACCCCACTCCCACAGCCCTCCCTGCTCTTCTTGTGGTGCCCAGCCTCTCCCAGGTTCCTGCCTGTCCCCCAGGGCCATCTCTTCCAACCTAACACTCCCCGGGGCAGCAAGAGGGTCTTGCTCAAGTCCACTGCCCCGGGAGTACCCCTTTGAGGCTCCTGCTGCTCTCAGGAAGACCTGGAGACCCCAGTGCCCTCTCATACCTGTAGTGCCCTCCTTTCTGTCCAGCACACCTCTCTACCCGCTTCCTGAGCCCTATTTCCCTGGCCTTTCTCTGTACTCAGTCCCCATCCAGCCCAGCCTGTGGGGTGCTGGGAGGAAGAGTGTTTAGTACATGTTCAGTGAGGCAAAGGGAAGAAGGAAAGGAAAAGGGGAGGAGCAGGGGCAGGAAGAAGGAAGAAGCAGTGCTGCCTTGTCTGAGGGGCCTGCAGCAGGGCGCTCTCACCCTCCTGGTGAAATCATTCCTGTGGGGCTGGGTTGTGGCTCAGTGGCAGAGCGCTCGCCTAGCATGCACAAGGCACTGGGTTTGCCCTCAGCACCACATAAATGTAAAATAAAGATATCGTGTCCACCTAAAACTAAAATAAATAAATAAATAAATAAATCCTACGTGATCATCTGCTCAGGGATGTCCCCCCTGGGCTGGGAGCTCCAGAAGGACAGCAACGATATAGGTCTCTCACCTTGTGGTCTCCACAGAACCTGACACTGTCCTGGCACAGGGCCAGGGCTGAGCGATGATGGAGAACTTTCCAACTAGGCAGCTAAGTGGGCAGCACTCATCAGGCCCTCTGCCAGGGAGGGCAATGCCGCAGTGCACTGTGGGGAAGGACCTGTGACCTGGCCGACAGCCTACCCTCCTTCTGTAACCTTGGGGCACGCTGCAGGTTGAAAGCGGGGCACCTGCCCTGCCCGCGTGCTCTACCTTCTGGAAGAAGTTGTAAAGCCTGGCCCGGAGGATGTAGATGTCGGCATTGGTGGTGCCCTGCTTCACCTCCTTGGTGATGAGTGAGAGGCAGTCTTGATGCCGTTTGAGGGCCAGGAGGCAGGCTATGCTGAGGGTAGAGGGCAAGAGGTGCTTGCTGTCTCAGGGGGAGGGCACAAGGGGCTGCTGGGAGGGAGGCAGTTCACAGCTGGCACTCACCATCGGTAGCGGAAGCAGGGTTTGTCGGGCTGGAGCGTAGAGCCTTGAGAGAAGATGTTCAGGGCGTCCAGGTAATCGCATTGCTCGTATAAGCACTGGCCCTGGGGACAGGGGTCAGTCAATGCTGCTTGCAACTCTGACCCAGCAGCACCCACCAGTTGGTAGGAGCAAAATTGGGGCAAAAGGGGAGAAACAAGAGATAAGACAAAGCTTTTTAGATCTGGGAGACTTTAAGAGACAGACAGACAGACACACACACAGATGCAGAGTTGGGGACAGAGCAAGAAACAGTGGTGAGAGGCAGAAGCTCAGAGACAAGGATCAGAGAAACCAGGGGTGGAGGAGAACAGCTGAGCGAAAGGAATCTTTGGGGAGCCCTGGGCTAAGAACCAGAAAGCATCATCTCACTGGCACTAGTGAGTGTCCCCCTTTTGGATGAAGGAAAAGAAGTACAGAGGTATAAAGTGACTTTTCCTGAAGTCACACAGGAAGCGTCTATGAAAAACAGGCTCCCAACAGAAAGATTGAACACAAAGTTTGGGTGCCTCAAATGCTTTTTTAAGAACTGTAATTTGGGGCCTTTCAAAAGACAGCAAAGTTGTCAAAATGGAAAAACAACAACAACAACAACAACAACAACAGGATGATTTTGTTGTTTTATAGTTTACTATTGATTTTGTTTTGAATTTTGAGTTGCAAATGAAGTCCCTACCATCTTTCAGTGCTTAGAGCCTTCCACCCTAGATCTGTGCTAACACTACAACAGCCACCAGCTGTATGTGGCTGTATAAATTAATCTGTATACGTTTTTTGCAATGTGGGGGCTGGAATCCAGTGCCTTATGCATGCTAAGCAAGTAATCTACCATTAAGCTACACCCCAGCCCAAATAAAATTTAAAATTCAGTTTCTCCGTCATAGTCGTCATATTTCAAGAGCTTAACGTTTCTAGGTGGCTGGTGGCTGCCATATTGGATGGTGCAGAGCAGACTGTTGTCAGCATTTCAGGAAGTTCGCTGGACATGCTGCAAAGCCCCCACGCCTGGCAGCAAGCTGCCTTGGAAGGTGAGAGAAACAATGGGTGGTGACACAGACACAGGGACAAGGAATCCCCAAGGAGACAGAACTGGAGCCAGGGGGAGCGGGAGCGAGGCAGCCCGGCTGTGAGGTGGAGCACCTGAATGTAGAGCACAAAAGCCAGCCGCTCCAGGTACTTGGGGTTCTCTGGCTGGAAGGAATATGCCCTTCGAAGGTTCTGGGCTGCCGAGGAGAAGTCACACAGCTGGATGAAGGCCTCAGCCCTCCAGGCATAGAAGTCCACCTGAAGGTGAGGAGGTCCAGGCTGTGTTCTAACCCCACCATCTGCCCCTAAGTGTAGGGAGTGGACTCAGCCTCCCTCGGGCATGACACCCAGTTACCAGCAGGTACTTGGTGGTCTTGAAAGAAGGGACCTAGCAGGGGTGACAGTGAAGGGGAAGTGTGTGCCTCAGGTTGCTGGTGCCCACGGAGGCCCTCCTCTCACCACATGGGGATCCAGGTGAAGGGCACGGGAGAAGTATAGCACAGCCATCTCCCAGTCCTCTTGCTCCAGGCACTGATGGGCTCGCTGGTAGCTGCAGTGGCAGGGGAGTATAGGTATGGGGCTGGCCCTGACTTTGGAGCAGCCCCGGGCATATGGCTGGGTGGAAGGAGAGTCAGGTGGAGAGGCAGGAGGGGTAGATGGTACTAGGGAGGGCACTCTGGCGTTTCTGGAGCCATCAGCCTTTTATTCACTGAAGTAGAAGGGCCTCATTACAGAGTGGAGTTCACTGAGGCTCAGAGAGAGACAGTAACAGGCTCAAGGTTGCACAGCATGTTAATGGTTGGGGGTGTGGGGCAGGAACCTGAGATAAAATAGTCACTCACTACTCTCTGACTTTGAGAGGCACCGTTAACTTTATGACCTTTGGTTTTATATCATCCAAATCCAGGAACACTTGGCTGGTCCCAAAGATGCGCTTCAGGGTTCCCTTTGAAACTGGAATAACCTGTGGCTTTGGGATGTCCTCTGAGGGAACCTGGTCAATTGCCAGAGCATCCTAGAACCAAGGGACAGCAGGTGGGAGCAGGCCTCAGAGAGGATCCCCATTTACCAGGCAGAGAAGAGTGGAAAGAGGGCTAGTGGTCCCCTGACCCTTAGGGATATTCCTGCCTCTGTCCCTCTCTTATGGCAATGTGTGGGATCTGGGTCCTCATGCCCACACCATCCTCTGGGCCTTCCCAGCTCTTACCTCCTGTTCCCAGTACTCACAGCTCTAATGTCCCCAACTCTGATCCTGCCCTAAGTCCCAGGCCATAGGGGTCCTCAGCTCCTTGGATGTCCTATGGGACCCTCAGGGCCGGCAGGTCACGCTGAACACCTCACTGACTTCTGTGCTAGGCTTTCTCCACCAGCCACCCAAGCCGGAGACCCATGACCCAACAGCTCTCAAGCCCTGTCTGTTCCACTGCCTCAAAATCGGTCAGATGGCTCCTCTTCTCTCGTCCCACGGTCTGGGCCAATGACGTCTTGGCCTGGACGCCAGCTCTGCCCACCAGTCCGGAGCTCTCTGTTCTTAGCACAGAGGCCAGGGCCTCTCTGAGTTGCACTACTGGCCCTGCCTCGGCCGTACTTTAAGCCTCTCCTAGGAACTCAGCCCTGGTGTCCCTACCCTGTCCTCTGCCTTGGCTTTAGCTTCTCCCCCAGCCCGCACCTCGCCAGCGTCTTCCATGAGGCCGCTTGAAGGAGGGCACCTACTCCCCTCGCGGCCGGGGCCTCTGGCGTTGCTAGGCACCAGCTCCAGGACGCCCCGAGGCTCCGCCCCTTGGCCACGCCCCCGCGACCTGAGGGCTGCTAGAAAATTTAACGCAGGAGGCTGAGGCCCAAGGCAAGGAAGAAAGTCGCCAGGCTTCTGCAGCGAGGCAGGGCCACAGCGAGGGCATAACAAGGCTCCCGCCTCCCAGGCCGGTGACTGAGAGGGTTCCGAGGGTGCCACAAGAACCCCACAGGGCCACGCTGACGCAGAGCCGCGGAACGCGCGGGGGCGACCCGATACGCGCCGCCGCCCAGCTCTTCCGCCCCCGAGAGGCTGCAAGGCCCCGCCCGGACTGGACGCCCCAGCGCAGGGGGCGATGCGATTGGCCGCAGGCGGCTGACGTCGCAGGGCGGGGCCCAGGCCCTAAATGGAGGCAGCATGTCGGCGTCCGGCCTTTCGCGCTGGGGGCTGTGGCGGGGGCGGGCCATGAGCCGGCGTGTCTTGGAGCCTCGGTCCCCCGGGAAGCGGTGGCTGGTGAGTGGGGTGTGAGCGGCGACGCAGAGGATCGGGGCCCTGGCTCCGGCCCTGCCATTGTCTCCCGGGTAAAGTTCCCCACAACTCTTAAGTTTTCTTATCTAGAAAATGGACCCTTTTCTCCACGGGCTCCAGCCTTTCAGGAGCTCGGTGCCGGCACCAAGACGCGCTGCCTGCCCGGCCTTCTGGAACCCCCAGGGGTTCCTGGGCCCTTTTTTGGCGCCTCGTCCTCATTCGGGCCCTGCTCTTCTTTTCCGTCCTCTGCTCTGGGTCCCAGGGGATGCTGTGCTGTCAGGGGTGGTGAGAGTTGCTGGCCTCAGTTTCTCTGGTGCTGCTCGCAGGTGGCTGGCCTGGGGAACCACGGATTGCCTGGTACGAGGCACAGTGTGGGCATGGCGGTGCTGGGGCAGCTGGCTCGACGGCTGGGAGTGGCAGAAAGCTGGGCGCGCGACCAGCGCTGCACTGCTGACCTCGCCCTGGCCCCCCTCGGGGATGCCCAGCTGGTCCTGCTCCGGCCAAGGCGGCTCATGAATGCCAATGGGCACAGCGTGGCCCAGGCAGGTGAGTTGAGGTCCCCATGGATGGGCCGGCCCTGAGGACACAGGTTGTGGAAAGTACCTGTTGAGCTCCAATTGCTGCATGACTTGGGTACTTTGGGAGCCTCTGTTTCTTTCCCTTTGAAGTGGGGTTCTCTTTTGGCCCCTCCTTATGAGAGCCTGCGTAGCACACCCCTGTGCAGATAGGCAGTAAACAGGACCACTGTTTCCCTGTGCCCAGCTGAGCTGTTTGGGCTGACTGCGGAAGAGGTCTACCTGATACATGATGAACTGGACAAGCCCCTGGGGAAACTGGCTCTGAAGTTGGGGGGCAGTGCCAGGTGAGGCCCCGAGATGCTCAGGGTTAGGGTAGGGATGCTGACCTCCCAGTTGGGGTGGAGAAGGGCTTCTGTCCCAGTCCCCCAGGAATGAGTCACTGTGAACCCATCCTGGGCAGGGTGGGGTGAAAGGGTGCTGACCCAAAGAAGCACTAACTGCTGTCTCATATCCCTTGAAGGGGCCACAATGGAGTCCGTTCCTGCATTAGCTGCCTCAACTCCAGTGTGAGTCTGCCCTCTTGTCCTACACTGGGTGAGGGGTGGCCCAGTGGGGTATGCCCAACATACATCACTAAAGCTCTCTGGCCCACCTCTTCCCCCCACAGGCAATGCCAAGGCTACGGGTGGGCATTGGGCGCCCAACACACCCTAGTGCAGTAAAGGCCCACGTCCTGGGCTGCTTCTCCCCAGAGGAGCAGGAGTTGCTGCCCCCGTTACTAGATCGTGCTGCTGACCTGCTCTTGGACCACATCCGTGCACGAAGCCAGTGTGCCTCACCAGGCCCCTGACACCAATGGACACAGCTGCCTGCCTAATTGCTGCCCACAAACCAGCTGTGCCACAGAACTGCCATGCCCACCTGTGATGTCCACTTTTTATATAACTCTTCTCTGGGCTGTCCCAGGCCACTTGCAGACTTAAGATGGGGACTGCGGCTGTCTGGAACAGTCCATTTCCAGGATAGGGGTTTGGTCATTTCTCCGCGTGCCACTTGGGATGCAGGAAAACGTCAGGAAGACTAAACTTTTGGAGTTTTTTTAGAGAGCCAGAGGTGTGGGTCTGTAAGATTAAAGATGCTGGCTTGGAATTTGAGACTTTCTCAGGCAGATCCCATCCATCCCTCTCCAATGGGGTGGGGACCACAGGAGTAGCAAGCAGCCCCTTTCCCAGGGTTAAGTGTGCATGCCTTCGCCCACTAAGGCCCTGCCACACCTTTCTTCAGCCCATTTTACATAAGGGGAGGCTGAGAGAGGTCCAGTCACATCCCTAAGGTCACATGGGTGCAGTCTGACAGAGCCACAATGTACACCCAGGGCTGGCTGCCACCTTACTGTCCTTGGGGCTCTGGCACCCTCACCTCAGAGACACTGTGTGCCCGGGAGGGCTTCATGCGGGTGACGTATGAGAGCTGTCTGAGGTCCTGGGGGTTGGGTGGGATGTGGACCCGGCGAGGCACCAGTCCTAGATCTCCTGGCTGGTAGGGTCTGATGCCACGCAGCTGCTGCAGCAGAGATGCCGCCTTGGGTGGCTGGCCGCTGGGCTGCCTGTGGGAACGGACTTGGGGTCATTACCTCCACTTCACAGGAGAAGACCTTTGGCTCCTTGGAGAACCAAGCCTCTGGGCCAGGCCAGCTGAGGATATCCTCCAGATGGGTCCTATGGCTGCCTCTTTTTTATTTTATTGTTGTTACTGGGAATTGAACCCAGGAGCATTACCCACTGAGCAACATCTCCAGCCCTTTTTATTTTTTGTTTTGAGCCAGGATCTCTCTAAATTGCTTAGGCTTCACTAAGTTGCTGAGGCTGACCTCGAACTTGTGATCTTCCTGCCTCAGTCTCCTGGGTTGCTGGGATTACAGGAGTGTGTCACCATGCCTGGCAATGGCTGCTGCTTTTGAGATCACAAGGGCTACCTGCTCACCTTTCCTTGGATGGGCCACCGGGCTGGGGCTCCTGGACAGAACACACAGTTGTCTGGGGTCTCAGGACCATGGCAGAGCTGAGCAGGGCCAGCAGTTGCTTCAGCATCTCCTTGTGCTGGAGCTGGAATACCACGTCAAAGTAGCCATCCTTTTCCTCTGATTGCATCTGCCAGAGGTGGGGGCGGAGTCAGGCCCACAGTGGTTCCAAGTCCTGCCTTCCTCTGGGGATACTCCAAATACAGTGCCTATTTTCTCATTGTCCTCTCACTGAAATGGGATACCCATTCTCCAATTGGGAACACTGAGGCCTGAGGTTTCCCAGAACATTAAAGAAGGCATTCAGTTCTTGTGAGATCTCAAAGGGATTTTGTGTGTGTGTGTGTGTGTGTGTGTGCACGTGTGCGCGCGCCACATGCACTGAGGATTTAACCTAGGGTTGCTTTATCACTGAGCTACATCCCCAGCCCTTTTTATTTTGAGACACAGTCTCACTAAGTTGCTGAGGGTCTCTCTAAATTGCTGAGGCTGGCTTCGAACTTGTGATCCTCCTGCCTCAGCCTCCCACATTGCTGAGATTACAGGTGTGTGCCAACACTCAAAGGGATTTTTGAAATCTATAGAATCAGAAAAGAACAGACTGGCCAGGAGTCTCTCAGGGAAAACAGGCCTCTCAGCTTGGCTCCAGCCTGGCCTCTTCCAGGTGGCCATACTCTGAAAACTGTCCTTCCACTCCTTCCTGCTGCCTCCTACTTTGTTGTACCTGCAGAATGTCCTGTAGGAAAATGGTGGCCCGGACCAGGCTCATCTCCAAGGTTTCCCGAAACTTCTGCTCCTCAGTCAGCTCCTGCTGCAGCTGCTGTACCTCCGCCTGCTGCTGCCCCAGCTGCTGTATCAGCTGGTCTCTCTGGTCCCTGGTTCAGGGCGAGATGAGCCAGCAGCTTATCCCATTCCTGGGTTGTGACTGGCACCACCTGGGCCCTGCAAATTCTTTTTAGCCCATCCACACCCAGGCCTCAGCTGTCTGACAGACAAAACCTTGAGGCCCCTATAGAGAGGGGAAGTTGTGGGCCTGGCCATGTGGCTAAAGCGGATGGGCCAATCCTGGTGCCCACCTGCTCCCAACCCTCCATGGTAGGCACACCTCAGGGTCTGGTTGTCCATCTGCAGCTGCAGGAAGCTCTGCTTCAGTTCGTGCAGCAGGAGACCCAGCCGCTTGGCCTCGGTGGTACCCTGCTGATGCTCACGGCACTTTTCAGTCAGCAGAAGGATGATCTGTAAGAGTGGGAAGGTGGCCACTCCCAGACCCACCACAGGACTCCAGCTCACTCTGTACCCCCAGTTCTAGGCACAGCCAAGGCTTGCCCCCCTATACAGAGAGGCCAGCACCACTTCTGAACAGGAGCTGGGACCCCCCCCCCCAAGGATGCCCTGTCCTCTCAATGTACTGCTCTCCTTTATCACTTGGCTCCAGACTGGGCCCGCCCCTCCAGGCTGTGGGCACCCAAGGGCTTCATGTGCCAAATGCAGGCTCACCTTCTGGTGGCCTCTGCTGCTTCTGGCCATAGCCTTCTGTATGTTCTCCATCATCTCCAGCTGCTTGTGCAGCTCGCACTGACTGCCCTTGAGCTGCTCGTTCTCCTGCAGCAGCTGCATGCCTTGCTGGGACACCTTGGCCAGCTTCAGGGTCACAGTGCTGTTCTCCTTGATGGCCC